GATAGAGACGGAGGGAAACGCGGCGCAGCCCGTGAGGCGATGCAGCTCGGCACGGCGCACGGCACCCTCCTGCGGGCGGCGGGCGGCGGGGGGCGGTGGTGAGGGACGCAACACAAGCCGTGTGCGAGCGAGGTGTGCGCTTCTGTGCGGCGTCGAGGCCCGCGCCTCGCTCTTTGGGTCAAGGTCGATGAGGCGCGGCTCTGCGCCGGCGAGGCGGAGGAGGCGCGCGGCCTGCGGGGTGCAGGGGGAGGAGCGCTGGGGAGCAGGGAATGTGTGTCGGCGGGTAAGGGCAGGTGCCCGCGCTTGACCGCGCACGTGCGGCGGGAGGCGGGCGGCGCGCGCCTTGCTGCTCTCCTCGCCGCTCTCGCAGGAAAACACGACGACCTGCGCCGAGCGCGCAAGCCGCGCCACGTCCTCGGCAGCCCCGGCGCGGTCGTACTCGCCCGCAGCTGCCTTGGCGACCCTGTCCTGTCGCACCTGCCTCTGGAACTCCGCCTGCAGCCGCCGCCGCGCCCTCGTCTCGGCGTCGCCTTCGCCCTTGCGCATCGGGTGCGGCCGCGCCGCGGCGAACCGGCTGGCGCCCGTTCCAAAGTTTTGCGGCTGCCCGATGGCGTTGAAGGGGGCCGCCAGGCTGCCCGGCGAGTAGGGGGCGGGGCGGGAGGCCAGGGCGAGCAGCAAGGCGGGCTGGACGCTGATCATCTGAAGCGATCACACCGCGCCTTCGAAGGTCGAGCTGCTTTAACCTCAGACGTTCATGAACCACTGATCGACGGGCTCTATCACGACACGAATTCCCTATAGTCTAGTTGGTTAGGATATTCGGCTCTCACCCGAAAGACCAGGGTTCGAGTCCCTGTGGGGAAATCCTCCTCTTTTGCGCTGTGTGCACTCTTCTTTTCCGGTGCGCCAGCCGCCCCCGAATCCTTTTTCCGCCACCGTCAGCCGCTCCAGCTCCACTCCCTTCTCCCAATCTTCTTCTGCAGGCGGCAGCCTCTTCCGAGAGATTTTTAGCAATACCTTAATGTGATGTTACAGGTGGGTTAAGAGGGAGATGTGCGCGAGCTGCGGGACCGCCGGGACGGCGGGCGGGTGATTGCGACGCGCCGCCACTTTTGGCGACTTTTGGGACGCGCGTCAATCGGCCGAGATTCGGCATGGCAGGCGAGGGTGTCACGGCCATGATCGTGGCTGCTGACGCCGGAGACAACCCGCTGGCGGACCGCCGCGAGGACCGGAAGGCGGCGGCAGAGCGGGAGAGGAAGGCCAAGGTGGCGAAGGTCGCCTCGCAGGCGACGAACGCGATGGCGGCAGTGCCAATACCAAACAACTCTAACACTCACACGTAATTTGGGGCCTGGAGCCCCTGCACAATGATGTTTATGGTGGTTTAAAGTTTGCGGGGGGGGGGGGGACAGCTTTGCGCGGTCGAATTCAATTTTCGGGGGTTTACGACGGTTTTGGGGATCCTGCCGACGCGCTACAGTTGTAGCCCCACTGCACATAAGATGGACACCTCACCGGGAGGGCCCTCGCAGCAGCCGGGGCCGACGCCTGCAGCCTTAGTCTTGGCCCGATCCGGCGGTATGCCACGGGTAGGCGCGTTGAGGCTTGCCGCCTCCTCTGCACCAACGCGGCCTGTGCCGCAGTTTGGCAATCGCATTCGCCCCGTGGGCACCGTTTTGTTTTCGCATTTCTCAGCCGTTTTCGCGCCTAACACTTCGCAACACTCGATCGAGCACGCCTGTCCGACGAGCGGCTTGCCGTGCGGGTGGCTTTGTGTGGCTCTTGTCGAGAGCGTTTTGCGGCCCGCCGGGTGAGAGAATATGTGTCGTCTGATGTGTCACTGTGTACGTCATACCGACTTCTCTCACTGAGATCGCACATTTTTTCTCCTCCGTTCGCGCCAATGGTGCGTTTCTCTCTCTCGAGGTTCTCGAGGTGGATATCCTTTGGCCGCGTTGGGTAGCGAGGATTGGTGTAACCCGAGCCACGGAGGCGTGTTTTCTGACGGCCGACCGTCAGTGCACGGAGTTGCCCCTTCTCCGACTGCCCCGGCTAGTTCCCGAGGTCGCGCGGGAGTGACCCCTGCCCTGTTCACGCGCGCGCGAGACGTGCAGACAGGGTTGCCAGGTGAGAGCGAATGGCGCGGTTCACCGGCCTCGCACAACAGAGTCAGAGAGAGAGATGCGCTCTGCATGGTGGGACATAAAAGAGAGCGAGTACTTGGGCGAGTAGGCCGTGCGGTCGACGCTGCCGCGCGCGACTTTGCGCGCGAGGCGGCGCAGCTTGAGAACGGCGGTGGGCGAGAAGCCGCCGCCGAACGTCTCGTGGAGCAGCAGTTTGTTTGTCAGGCTGATGCCGGTGCGGATGGCCAGGAAAATCATCAGCACTTGGAGCACTTGGAGTGCAGTCATCAACCTCACATCCAGGGCCGGGGTGGGGAGCTAAGAAGCGCACCCAGCGGGCCGGATGATTGGCATCGGGCTACGGGCTAGAGAGCCCTGACCCCTGCCCTAGCCCTGTTCACGCGCGCGCGAGACGTGCAGACAGGGTTGCCAGGTGAGAGCGAATGGCGCGGTTCACGCCTCGCACAACAGAGAGAGAGATGCGCTCTGCATGGTGGGACATAAAAGAGAGCGAGTACGTGGGCGAGTAGGCCGTGCGGTCAACGCTGCCGCGCGCGACTTTGCGCGCGAGGCGGCGCAGCTTGAGAACGGCGGTGGGCGAGAAGCCGCCGCCGAACGTCTCGTGGAGCAGCAGGTTGAAGTGGTTGCGCTTGACAAAGATCGCGTCGTGGTAGAAACCGCGATGCGCCTTGACGTAGCCGTGGCCGGTCGTTGTTTGAGAGAGAGAGAGATTTTTAGCAATACCATTTGTTTTGTTTGTTTGTGCTCTTCCGCAGGAGGAGGCGCTGCAGGCTCCTCCTCAGCGCCGTGCCGCCGCAGCATCTCATCCCGTGCACCACCACCGCCCTTCCACCCAAACAGCTCGAATCCAGCAGCAGGAGCCAGAAGAGTCCGATGGCCCCAACTGCCTTTAGAGTCTCCCGGTCGCGTGTGAATTTGTTGCGCTGCGGCGCTGCTCGCGCTGTACTGCCACCGCGCTTTCGTTGGATGACAAAGCGCAAGGCGCGCGCTACCGTCCCGGGGGGCGCTCGCATGGATCTCAAGGGCGGCAAGCCGGGCGCGCTCGTCGGCCGGCGCCTCACCGTCAAGTACCAGGAGGATGAGGGCGCCCCCGCGGTACCGTACCTCGGCGTCGTGACGTGGACAGAGCCCGGCCGGCTGTACGCCTGCTTCGATGGCTTTGACGAGGCGGACGGCGCGTGGGTAGACGACTCGGACGAGTGGGGTTGGAGCCCGGCCGCGCAGCCAGCGCCCGACCCGCCGGGTGCGTGGACGCCGGGAGAGCCCGCGCCGCCGATCGACAAGATCTTCCTCTCGCGAGAGTGCAAGCCGGCTGCCGGCGCGGTGCCCGCGGCCGGCGTGCCGCCCGACGCGGCGGAGCCGCCGCCCGCGCGACACGACGAGCTGCTCGTCAAGTGGAAGGGGCTCGCCCACGTGCACTGCCAGTGGGTTCCGCGCGCCGCGCTGGAGGCGGAGCACTCGAACAAGCAGCGCGTGCAGCGGTGGGTGCGGGCGCACTCGAGTGGGGAAGCGGTGGAAAACACGTGGGGCCTGGACGGCGACGATGCGGCGGCGGGCGCCAAGGACGACGAGCTCGGCTACAACGCCGACTTCAACCTCGTCGAGCGCATCGTTGCGAGCGAGGCGGCCGATGAGGCGCCGCCGCGCTTCCTGGTCAAGTGGCGCGGGCTGCCTTATGCGAGCTGCACGTGGGAGGGCCCTCGCACTCTCCTCGAGGAGCAGCGGGCTATCCTCGCGTGGCAGGCGCGCGAGCAGCCGCCGCCGCCGCGCGAGCTGCGCGTCGCGACGACGCGCTCCCGGCCGCCGCGCTCCGCCTTCGTCAAGCTGACGGAGTCGCCGGTCTTCAAGGACGGCCGCCGGCTCCGGCCGTACCAGCTCGAGGGGCTGAACTGGCTGCTCTTCTCGTGGTACGCGCGCCGCTCTGTGATGCTCGCCGACGAGATGGGGCTGGGCAAGACCATCCAGTCCATCTCCACGCTGCACCACCTGTGGACACACGAGCACGTACGCGGGCCGTTCCTCGTCGTCGCGCCGCTCTCGACGCTCGCGCACTGGAAGCGAGAGTTTGACGAGTGGACCGAGATGAACGCAGTCGTCTACCACGGCACAGCCGAGTCGCGCGAGGTGCTCCGGACGCACGAGTGGCGCTTTGCAGACGGCGGCGCAGCCGGCTCCAAAGACTCGAGGGACGAGCACGAGCCCGCGCTGTACAAGTTCCACGCCCTGGTCACGTCGTACGAGGTGATCAAGCAGGACCTCTCCTTGCTCAAGGCGGTGCCGTGGCGCTACATGGTCATCGACGAGGCGCACCGCCTCAAGAACCGCGACTCGGCCCTCGCCACGGACCTGCGCGCGCTGCGCGTGGAGCACATGCACCTGCTCTCCGGCACGCCGCTGCAAAACAACACGACGGAGCTGTGGGCGCTGCTCACCTTCCTCGACCCCGACCTCTTCCCCTCGCTGCCCGCCTTTCTGGAGGAGTTTGGCACGCTCACCGACGCGGCGCAGGTCGAGCGGCTCAACACTCGCATCCGGCCGTACCTGCTGCGCCGGCAGAAGAATGACGTCGAGAAGTCGCTCACGCCGCTCGAGGAGACCATCGTGTGGGTCGAGATGACGCTCTTCCAGAAGCGGACCTACCGCGCCATCCTCGAGGGCGAGCGCGAGCTCCTCGTCGGCGGCGTCACCGGCGCGGCGCTACCCTCGCTGGTCAACTTGCAGATGGAGCTGCGCAAGTGCTGCAACCACCCCTACTTGATCAAGGGCGTCGAGGCGCACGCGTCGGACCAGTTGCGCGCGGCGGAGGGGGAGGCGGCCTCCTCGGACGGCGGCGGCGCAGCGGCGGTCAACGAGTTCCTCGCCGCGTCGGGCAAGTGTGTGCTCCTCGACAAGCTTCTGCCCAAGCTGCGGCGCGAGGGGCACCGCGTGCTGATCTTTTCGCAGATGGTGGGAGATGAGATGCTGTCTCCGCTCACGCCGCCACCCGACCGTGAATCGTTGCCCAACATTGTTGTGGGCTGCACACTCCCTGCTGGCGTGCGCATGCTCACCTCCTCTCTGGCTGCCTCACCCCGAGATCGCGCGAGATCACCCCGGAGATATCAACGCCCCCGAGGCCGCGCGAGCCCCCCCCCCCCCCCCCCTCCCCCTCCCCCAACGCACAGGTGCGCATGCTCGACATCCTCTCGGACTACCTGCTCGAGCGGCGCTACTCGCACGAGCGGCTCGACGGGACGATCCGCGGCGACCTTCGCCAGGCCGCCATCGACCGCTTCTGCCGCCCCGACTCGGACACCTTTATCTTCCTCCTCTCGACGCGCGCGGGCGGGCTCGGCATCAACCTGACCGCCGCCGACACCTGCATCCTGATGGACTCGGACTGGAACCCGCAGAACGACGTGCAGGCGATGGCCCGCTCGCACCGGATCGGGCAGACCAAGCGCGTCAAGGTCTTTCGCCTCGTGACGCGCAACACTTACGAGGCGGAGATGGTGGAGCGCGCCAACCGCAAGCTCGGCCTCGAGCGCGCCATGAACGCCGACCGCGCCGCCGACGGCTTGCCCGACGGGCGCGGCGGCGCAAAGCCGGCCGGGCCGACGCAGGACCGCGCGGAGATCGACGCGATGCTGAAGCGGGGCGCGTACAACATCTTCATGGAGGACGGCGGCGACGGCGACGCGCGCTTCAAGCAGTTCTCCGAGGCCGACATCGACGAGATCCTCGAGTCCTCCTCCACCAAGGTGACGTACGGCGGCGAGGACTCCGGCTCGGGCTCCGTCTTCTCCAAGGCGGCCTTCATCGCCGACGACAATGAGCTGGCGCGCGATTCTCGGCGTACCTCGGGTGTGATCTCGGCGGATCTCGGGTGTGTCATCTCGGACAGCGGCGCCGCGGGGGAGTACGGACAGCGAGGAGTGGGAGGGGAGTGGGAGGGCCGTGGGAGGGCAAAGGCGCAGCGGCCGCCGGAGGCCCGCCGCAGTCTCCCCGGCCGACACATCCTGACAGGCTTTCAGCTCGGGCGGCAGTTGCCGCCGGCGCATGCGTTCGTTATCGCGACCCCCAACTCTCTCTCGCCCCCGCCCCCCGCCCCACTCTTCCAGGACATGGACGACCCCGAGTTCTGGACCAAGATCCTGCCCGAGCTCGAGAAGAAGGACCCCGCGCTCGCCGAGTACTTCCTCAAGCGGCAGACCAAGCAGGTCAAGCGCTTTGGCATGGCGGAGGACCCTAGAAGCGGGACGCGTAGTCGCGTAGTCGCTGTATCGTCTCTTCTCGTATTCCGCTACACTCGGCCGTCTTCGGCTGCATTCGGCTGGATTCGCTGCCCTCGTACCCCTCGTACTCACAAAGTGCTCCGAGTAGACGCTGCACGACACCGCCTTCCCGCCCCGATGTTCGTGTATTCACAGGCGGACGACGGCGAGCTCGACGACGACGAACTCGACTTTCTCTCGGGGGGGGGGGGCCGCGCCTACAAGTCGGGCCGCGGGCGCGACGACGACGACCCGCCCCGCGCGGTACGGCGCGCGCTCGCGCACGTTTGGTCGAAGACGGAGCGGATGAACTGCGAGCGCGCGCTCCTGTCGTTCGGCTTTGGGGAGATTTAGCCGAGATCTAGCCGAGATTTAGTTTGGCCCCCCCCCCCCCCCTCCCCCCCCCCGGCTCCGACTGATTGGTTCGTTTCCGCAACGGGTAGGCCGCTGGTCGCGGATCAAGGAGGCGGCCCAGGGCGGCACCAAGCTGCGCTCCGAGGAAGAGATCTCGCAGTTCGGGCTCGCGTTCCTCTGCCTCTGCACCGGCGTGCCCGTCGCGTCGGTCGGCTTCGTGAGCGGCGTCGACGACGGTGCGTCGGGCGCCGCAGACGACGATTTGGAGCCGGCGTCGGCGTAGGGCAGGATGGGCTGGCGCGTGCAGGACATGTCGGACATGTCCTGGAGATGTCCCGTAGGCCGACGAGCGGCCGTCGGCGGCGTCGGCGGCGGAGCGGGAGGGCATCGCGGCCGCGCGCGAGGTGTTGCGCGAGATGGGTGTGGCGGGCC